GATAATTCCCAAGAAATTTTTCACTTTCCCCAAGTGGATTGATTTTATGTGCTTATGGTATGTCCATTCTATACAGTAGATGTTGTGTATGTTTATAAATCTCTGGGATGTGGTTGATTAGCTTCTCTGCCTCCTGATTGGTCGATGTTTAGCGAGTGTTGATGTTGAATTCCCAAGTTACCCGTTTGTAATAGTTTCTTAAAGATCCACTGTATAAACTGTTATTTTGATGGTAAATACAAAGCTTAAAGTCTTATACTGAAAACCTACATTCCTATTACAATATGCTTTATATAGACCGTCCTACGAGAGTTCTTAGCTGGTGGTAGCCACTGTGTGTGTGTGCTGAACCATGGAGGTCACTTGCTCCCTGGTTCAATTCCCATCGCTGCTCTCCTTGTATTTCAACTGGAGGGTTGAAATACAAGTTATGATCGAAAGCACACCGTCTTTCGGATAGGACGATTATGACATTGGTTCTGGGTGCAATATAGCTCATGTGCATGAACGCAGTACACTCTTTTGAAATGAGTAGGGGATTGTCTCGCGGTGTACTGCCCAATCACCACCAGAAGGACCCCACTGGAAATAAGTCTTCTTCATACTTTAGTGGGTTATCCTTGTTGTTTACACTGAATAATTCCCCCCATCTATTGAGATGATAAACTTGAAATTTCAAAATTATATTCAATTTAATAATCCGTATAAAGGTATATAGAAAATTCTATTTGAATTTTGAGCCATTTCCGGCCTCTAGAGGTGCCATAATCATAAATTTTTGTTTTCTCAGCCCCACCTGAGGTAGAATAGACCCTCCATCTGTGAAAGTCCCTCTCTGGGCCCCCTCTTTTTCAAATTCCTGGATCTGCCATTGATGTAGAATTAACCCATAACTCGCAGCGTGATTGTGCTGGGAGTGGCTTGTCACTACCTAGCTATTGTAAAGAGGCGCTTATAGTAGCTTCATGCTCACTTTCGGAAAAAAAATTCTGAACAAGAAATTGTTTGCCTTCTCTTCTTACAGCAGCGTAATTAGTACCATAATTCCTGGCATAGACCTTTAAATAGGCTGGTAGTCAATTTAAAGACCTTTCCTGGTGAAAAGTCTGTAAATCATTAATAATTTGAAATGTCTTTCCATCTGTGCTTCATTAAATTTGGCAACTTACACTTTTTTTTTTTTTAATAAGATTAAAGAACGAGTAAAATTTTACCTAGGCTCTGTGTTTTTATTTTTCAGAATGTTGTTGGTCTTACTTTACCCACTTTTCAAAGATAGAAAATTGTAATTGTTTAGTAATATATTACTATACCATCTTTAAATACAATACAATTCTGTAAATTATATGAATTAAAAATGTTGGAAGTATTAAAAGAAATATTGACAAAAATAATGATCTACATGATAGAACAATTAATATGTGAGAGTTTATTTGTTTTGTTTTTTTTATTTTTGAATGACAGTGGCAATAGTTTTTCTCATTATTTCATTACTACATTTTGCTTGGTCATTATTTTTATGGTTTCTGTTTTGTTTCATTTCTTCCATTTTAAAATTTTGTATTAATTTGTCTTGTGTTTTAAACAACTACTTACAGTATTACTATTTAGAACAATCTTGCATATTTCTCATGTCAACTCCATAACCTAGTTCATAATTTAGGCCTGTGGGCTTTAAGATAGATCATTCTTTTGGTAAGGGGGCTTAGAGCATTATTTACATATTTTTGATTCTCAACCCCCCCTGGTGGCCTCTTGGCACCCCTCAGGCAAGTTATGATAATTGTATGTGCTAAATAAAATATATAAATACTTCACTACATTGTTGTTGAAATCAGAGAGATCTTTGTATTTTTTATTTTGTTTACTTGTGCACTTTCCTGTGACCTAGGTTTCATACACCAAAATTTATTTAACATGAGACTAAGCAATTGATAATAGTTTCAATTCCTTTATAAACAATACTATTTTCAATAGAACATAAACATTTCATTCATTTAAAGGTGCAATATGTTAATTTTTTCAGTATTGTATGTACCATTACTTAAAAGTAGTGTTATGTTTGAGAGAGGCATGTCGTGCTAGCCTTATCCTACTCTAGGCCTAGACTAGCTAGGATGGTATAGGCCTAGCCTTGAAGGGACGAAGGTCCCAATGAAAAACAACGTCGCTCCTTGATAGCTAACATTGTCTATAATGTCTTATCACAATAATTCATTATTAGACCTATAGTTAATTTTTGAATTGTACTCCACAAATCTCGGCCGATACCTCGCACAACTTGCGTAACGTCTCGTATCTATTGTCGTGACGTCATGATTCACTGGCTCACACTTGCGATGTCTCGTACTTGTGATCAAATAACACGCTGGCTCGCACTTTGGCAACACTCTTTGGCA